TCATGCAAAAAAAAAAAAGTTACTTGGAAAAAAAACTTGACTAATATTATAGGTCACCTTCAGGGAAAAATCAAATAAAATCAAATCAAATAATAAAGACCAGAAAAGAAATAACCTGCCATAAACCTTCTGCTATTTTCAAGTTATAAATTCCATAAACATTAACAAAATGCATTATTTGAGATTATATTAGACTTATAAGTATGTTATTGACATATAATGCATATTGAGATTATATGCATTTTATGAGACTTATAAGTATGTTATTGACAAATAATGGACTATTTTAGCTTTGGAGGATGGCTTTATGACTAATTTGTCATCTATAAAACATGCCCTATGAACAAATGCTGTTATTAATGACTCGTGTCAGTTCAATACAGCCCTGAATTTTCTTACTGTAAAAAGCTCTCTCACCTCTCTCATCTTCTGCTTCCTGTGTGAGAACTTTGAAATCCAGGAACCAGGTTTCCAACCAAGCCACCACAAACGAGGTGATGGGAAGAACGTAACCAAAAGCATTCTGACTAAACAACTGAGAAAAACAAGAGGGATCTATGACGTCCTACACCTATTTCTATTATCACAGCAATATAATAAAACCGAGGAGGAATTCAGAGAGCTGCTAGTGGTCTCTCTGAGGAGCAAACACTATGACTTCCCTTAAATGAAGATAAATATTCAAATAGTTTGGATAGGAAGACAAAACATGAACTAGCTTACATCTGACCAGATTACTTTGGCGATGAGGAAGGCGCTGGTCACCAGAGTAGTGATCTGAGAATGGAGAAAATAAAAAAAAAAGACAATGATCATATCCAAGCCTGTAAAAGTCATATTTCACCACAAATATGAAAAGGAAAATATTGTAATTATTATTAGCATTTTCTATAACGTTTACAGAAAATGCAAATATTGAGATTTATATAGGCTGAGGTCTTTCTTACCGCAATAACCCACCAATGTCTCAGTCGAAACGCAGCATAACCAAGCTGCAAGCACAGAAACCTAAACACAGCTAAAAGCTGGTCGGCAACAAGCAAAGGAGAAAAAGAGAGATTATTGCTTCGAAAATAATAACTGAAGATTTAACAATGACTGTTCAGTGCTGATTCTTAGTAAATATAAGAGTGTTTCAACGTGTTTCTAGGATGACATCCCTATATTTGCAGGCATGACAGCAGCTTCAATAAACAATGAGGCCATTTCAATACCCCAAATTCACCCAAAACTTGCTCGTACAAGAAATGCAGTAGAGGACGACTACATCTATTGATGTCACATGCTAAAGTGGGTGACAGAAACCGTGTGAATCGCAATTTCTCACACCTCATGCTCTAGAAGCTTTAAATAAACAGACTAATGCTTTATCAAACCGAAAATAAAAACCCAAAACTGGAACGGTTTAATGATTCATATTTTATACAGTTAAGTGTGTGTTTGCGTGTTCATGACAAAGACTTCATCAGAGAGATCATATCAAACCAATAATGTAGAGCAGTCAGTTATAAAAATGTACCATCTTTTATTATCAATAAGTAACAAGGCTTTCGCTTTATGATACTTACAAAGATATCGAAGAACGATGACTTGAAGTTGTAGTGAACAACCTCATTCTCAAGACTGGTCCATATACTCTTACTGATCTGAGAGAGACAGAGAGAAAGGCAAATCATGCATCCTTTCCTATATTTCATTGAAAACCTTAAAATGCACATAAATGCACTGTTTTATGTGTCACATGCTAAAGATACATATTAAATTACAAAAAAAAGTTTATGTACATAATATTATTATTATTCATTCTTTCCATAAATAGGCTACAAAACGGCATAATAAATATGTTTTAACCATTTATATTTTTTTTAAGTAAAAATATGTGTATGCGTACTTATATAAAATCATAAAATCTCAATATTCACATTTTCTTTTTGATGCAGTATAATATATATTTTATTTATGTACATAAATTTGTATTGCCGTTTTCCATAAATAGGCTACAAAACTATATAAATAGTCTTTCATTTTATTAAACTATATAAATAGTTTGGTATTAAATGTTTTTAACCATATGTTTTATAAAGTAAATACAGTACACGTGTATGTGCAGTTAAATATTTATTTACATATTTATCTGAAATATCTGTATTATCTTTTTTGATTGTTTTATTGTTTATGATTTTATTATTAAAAATGCTCAAATGTTCAAAATATATTTAATATGCAAATTACAATATACAAATTTCACACGCCTCTATTTTCATCATAGGACGTGAAAAGGGCACGTACAATCAACTGTAAAATTCACCCCACACGACTATGGGCCAAGTTAAAAAGGAAGTACACACTGAACGACAAGAGAAAAATGAATAGCATTGGGCAAGACGACAGTTTGGAAGCACAAAATAAAAACTCACATTTAATTCAATGATCCAGAGCAGAGTGATGAAGAGGAGGTCAAACGTAACGAAGAGGCAGAACGTTCGGCGTACGTCTGAGAAGGCTTTCCTCTCTCCCGGGGGCAGCGGGGGGTAGTACGGGGAGGGAAGGGAGAGGGAATACGAGGCGTTCAAAGAAGCAATGGCTGGAAGACTTCCTCCCAACTCGCTGTAGTCCACGCCACTCGGCATAACTAATGCAGCTGGAGCACATCCCCTAAACCAGAGACGGAAAGACAATTAAACAGTCAAACAAACAAACATGCTTTATCTGGCTCTTATGCAATCAGATACTGCAATTATACACAGACTGAAAGCACAGCGAGCAATCCAACAAGATCTAATCAAGCAGCATTTGACCACTTTTAAAGCCACTCTAAAGTCATGGCTTAACAAAAGCATTCCCTATGTAGTGTACCTGATTGTATATGTATACTGTTTATGTACATATAGTATGTAATCTGCGTTTGATGATCATAAACGTGTTGTTAATGTACACATCCTGCGATGCACTAAAATAGTTGATTTATATAGTCAGTGTCACCATGTTTGCATGAACTAGGATGAATGCTGAATGAATAAGAGTCATTTGTGATGGGGGGGGGGTTGACAATGGATCACTAAATGCCATCATTTTCCATCTAATTTGTGTTTATGAACTGTCATAGTTTCAGCAAGTGAATAAGCTGACATGACAACTCTAAAAATCATTTAAGAGCATTAAATCTAGCTTAATCTCTCTGTCATGCTTATGAAAAAATTGCCATTATGAAAGGAGGTAAAGGTGATCATACTGATTTATTAGAGAGCTTTTAACCTTTAATACTAGGCTTTTTAGGTTTGATAACCCTCTCTTTCCTATTTGTCCAAAGAATTAATGAATAAAATCATGTGACACACAGAACAGAGAATAAATACTGGGGAAGCAAAAGCATCTTATACTGAATGCTGCACTGTCAACATGAATGCAGTTCCTCTACGTGTGGCAAACAAGCTTTAAATATATATTTGACAACCCTTCATAAACGCATACTTGATATTTTGAAGAGACCTAATGAATATTCAGGAGCACACTCACACTTATTTGTCTAGTTAGCACGCAAATCGCAGCATAAACAAGCTTGCAGCTCTAAACTTAAACACGCACTGACCTCTCGGTTAGTTGACAGCTGGTACAAGTTGTTTACAAGTCATCTAAAAGCACCAAACCCGTCGTTAATCAAAAATCAGCCGAGAGAGTCAACGTGAAGCCGAAACTCACCAGAATCAGCGCACCGTTCTCACTAGCAGGCTGCTGCTCTTCCGTGATAACAAGCGGATGCGGGAAAGCGTCACATCCGCCAGCTGATCGACGCTCTAAGCGCTCGTGGCTGAAGAATGTGAAACGCCGAAATGAACTAACGCATCACGTGATACAGTATATATAATCAGAAATCTGAAAAGCTTAATATAGGCTAATATCTTAAACCAGTGAGAAAATCCTTATGAACGACTATCATCAAATTACCATAGTTCTATGTTTAGTTATAATAACACTGGTATTTTGGTTGATGTTTGTAAAGAATGTAATGAACACATTAATAAATCGTATATACAAAATAAGAAATTGTATTGGGTAAGTACAAAAAGTGGATGATATTTGTACTTTAAAGGCACACTATGTAATTTTCGCCACTAGAGGGCGCGTATTCAAAATAAACAGAGAAACAAAGGCGCCGTGACTGAGTGTGGAATCATGGGAGTTTCTCTTCATCCCCACAGCCGATAGTGATGGGAAGTTCGGATCATTTTACCGACTCGGACCTTTGAGTCTCGTTCAGCAAAATGAACGAATCTTTTTTCGAGTCATTTCGTTCATTTTAGCAAAGTAGAATTAAAATGTTACGTGTTACTTCCCTAATACGTCTACTACTTACGCAAACGTTGATCACACTACAAACAATACAAAACTGCTATAAGAAACAGAAAAGATTAATTAATTGTTTACCTGGGTCTTCAGTCCATGATTAGCTCACCTCACCTCTTATCTGACAAGTCTTCGGGTTTGGGCTTATGGGGCTGTTAAACCCGAAGACTCGAGAGATGAACTAATCAAGTCTCTTTCCGGCTCAGACTGCATTGGTTAAACTTATGGGGCTAACACGTGACGAATGAACGACTTAAACCCGAAGACTCAAGAGATGAACTAATCAAGTCTCTTTCCGGCTCAGACTGCATTGGTTAAGCTTATGGGGCTAACACGTGATGAACGAATGACTCGGAAAAACCCGAAGACTTGAAACAGGTGAACTACTTGACTAATTCCAGTACAGAACCTATAGGATGTTGCGCATGCGCGACTGAACGAATCACTCCCCGAGACGACTCATTCTTCCCGAGTCACATTAAAGATTTGCTCAAAATGAACGAATCGTTCAAGAACGACCCAACACTAACAGCCGATGCAATCCGACACGACTCGGGCAGAAATCATGTTCATGGATGAGCTAATGATTTATTAAGGTAGTAGAATGAAGCAGGGTGAGACTGAAAGCCGTCAAAGCGAAACGAGGCCGCTGAACGAGTGTTGGCAATGGTTTAACAAATAATAATGCTGCTAAATACTTAGATATTGAGCCTTTCCATGTGCTCTGGGATTATTGTTTTTGGCAAATGATTTCATGGGATTCGGTATAACAATTCTCTGTACTCCAGATGGCAGTGTAGGCCCAAAGAAACACACCGATAACAAAACATACAGCAACTCAAACACACACACACACACACACACACACACACACAAAACATGACATGACATGATATGAACACATTTCTCAACACTTCACATTCATACTGCGCTGCTCATAGAACTAAACATTTGTACTTTAGCTTTTTGTTCGAATGTATGAAATGCAGGGATGATATTAGATGACTGCTGATGGATTTAACCTTATGCATTTCTATTTCATGGCAATGTCGGGGCGAATGAATTGTTTGAGGTTGTTTGACCACTCCAAAATTCCAGTCTTTCAGAGTTTTTTTTTTAAGTCTCTTTTTGTCTCTGAATACAAACAGACAGCCGTTTTTTATCAAGTGATGGAATTATTGACAGCCAGTTATCAATAAACAATAATTCTGATATCCAAACAAGGTTCTGCATTATGAAAAAAAAATCTCTAAAGTTCCTCAAACTTTATCAGTCCACATTTCTGCACTCATCCTTTGCCATATTGTCTGCTTCTACTTCCTCCTCCTCCTCTTCATCAGTTGGTGCTGTGGCTCCTGCCTTTCTCATGCCGGGCTGGTGTTCTGCCATGTCCCTTTGCTCCTGTGAATCTTTAAAATGAGTATTTATTAAATAAAATACGGAATCAACAGGCATTCTCATATTTGATTGGGATATTTGATTTGATTTGATTGAGAGAGTAGCACAATATTAAAGGGTTGCTCCACCCCAGAATTAAAATTCTGTCATTAATTACTCACCCTCATGTCATTCTAAACCCGTAAGACCTTCGTTCATCTTCGGAACACAAATTAAGACATTTTTGATGAATTCTGAGAGCTCTCTGACCCTTCATAGACAGCAATGTAATTACCACGATCAAGGTCCAGAAACGTAGAAAAGATCGGTAAAATAATCCATGTGACATCCATCAGGCGTTCAACCGTAATTTTACGAAGCTACAAGAATACTTTTTGTATGCAAAGAAAACAAAAATAACAACTTTATTCAACAATTCGTCTCCACCGTAGCGCCATTTTGGAGAGTATCCACTGAACGCAAACAGCGTATGCTGTTCTGTGTCAGCCGCACCATACGGATACGTTTTCTACGTTTATTTATTTTGCTGTAAAGTTGCTTTGCAACGATTTGTATCGTGAAAAGCACTATACAAATAAACTTGAATTTAATTGAATTTACACTTTGATTTGACGAAAACAACGTATCCATGTGGTGCGTTCAGTGGATACTCTCCAAAATGGCACTACAGTGGAGCAGAGACGACGAATTGTTGAATAAAGTCGTAATTTTTGTTTACGACAAAAAATTTATTCTCGTAGCTTTGTAAAATTACGGTTGAAGCCCTGATGTCACATGGATGATTTTACCGATCTCCTTGCTATGTTTCTGGACCTTGAGCGTGGTAATTGCACTGCTGTCTATGGGAGGGTCAGAGAGCTCTCAGAATTCATCAAAAATATCTTAATTTGTGTTCCGAAACGCAAACAGCGTATGCTGTTCTGTGTCAGCCGCACCATACGGATACGTTTTCTACGTTTATTTATTTTGCTGTAAAGTTGCTTTGCAACGATTTGTATCGTGAAAAGCACTATACAAATAAACTTGAATTTAATTGAATTTACGCTTTGATTTGACGAAAACAACGTATCCATGTGGTGCGTTCAGTGGATACTCTCCAAAATGGCACTACAGTGGAGCAGAGACGACGAATTGTTGAATAAAGTCGTAATTTTTGTTTACGACAAAATTTATTCTCGTAGCTTTGTAAAATTACGGTTGAAGCCCTGATGTCACATGGATGATTTTACCGATCTCCTTGCTATGTTTCTGGACCTTGAGCGTGGTAATTGCACTGCTGTCTATGGGAGGGTCAGAGAGCTCTCAGAATTCATCAAAAATATCTTAATTTGTGTTCCGAAGATAAACGAAGGTCTTACGGGTTTAGAACGACATGAGGGCGAGTAATTAATGACAGAGATGCACAATAAAAGACTGTACTCTGAACCCAAGATTGCATGTGAAATGTTAAAAAATAAGTAACTTCAGTTTTTCCCACTAAAAAAAAGTCTTTAAAAACCCAATAACCCAAAGTCCACCTCCAATTGCATAAAAACAATGAAGTGTGCCTACAATAGGCTATATTTCTCAGAAAACGGTTATCTGCATCTTTATCACTTACTACTGATAATTAACAGAATACTGCAACAGTTCACATTATTATTTATCGCTGTTTAATACATCATTCAATAGAAATGTAATCAAAATAAAACAATAAGACATTTATTAATTTATTTGATTTATCCCCATTAACTTTTGAAGTTATTAAATATATTTATCATATATGCATAATGTAATAGAAATATTAAAATAAACATTACAACTTAACTTTTGACTTTTCTTTACATTTACCCCTTTAAAACTAATAGTTATAGTAGTAGAAAAAGTATTTAGTAATATTAATCTGACATAATATTTGAGAGTGTGAACATAAGTTTCTCTTACTATTGTTTTTGCAAGGCTGATGTGAACATTCAGCAGTAACCTTTTCAAATAAAATGATAAAAAACTAAATATAATACTGACAACGTAACATGCATATGTGGAGGGTTCATCCGTGATGTGATATTAAGATTACCAGGTGTGCAGGATGAGGAAATCTCCTCCCCCCCTCTCTGAATAGGCTCCTCCCCTTCCTCCTCTACTTGAGGATACACACCTAATTTCTGCATGTGAGCTTCAGCCATCTGCTGCACGGCTATAAACACACGACCACAAAGACACACACAGAGGGATTCACAAATCAGGGATCATCAAACCACAAGGGACAAACACAGGAATGTACACAAACACACACAGATAAAGAGGGATGGGTCTGTTTACTTTCTTAGCAAGACTTCTGCGCTGTGCCAACCAGAATGGGTTTTATTTCTGCTACAATGATGGAACATGTAAGGACAGGGATAAACCACCTGTCTTTTTACAAATAGACGATTCACAACACACACATTCAGAGACAATATCACAGTAATGCATAGCTATTTTCCCTTCTTTTAATTTCACGCATTACTAATAAAACAAATTTAATTCTGTTCATTTTTTTCTTTTGGTTTCTGCCATAGAATAAAAAAAGAAAAAAATAATAAAGGTAATTTTGACTTTTTGTCCCACAATTCAGACTTTTTTCTCACAATTCTGCGAAAAATGTCAGAATTCCAAAATAGAAACTCAGAATTACGAGATATAAAGTCAGAATTCTGAATTACTTTCTCGCAATTCTGAGGCCCCGTCCACACGGAGACGCGTTTAGCTGTATACGCATACATTTTGTATCGTATAGGCGTTTCGTCCAGACGGATCCGGCGTTTTGGGAGAGTGAAACCGATATTTTTTTAAACCGGGTCCCAGAGCGGATAAATCTGAAAACGCCACCCTTGCGTTTTCATGTGGACAGCGAATCTGTATATTTTCTGAAACAATGACGCCCTCAGCCCACGTCTCCCCCCTAGTCAGACACCGCTACGTCACGTAACAGCAACAACAACATGAACAAACACTGAACGATTGTCTTTTTATTAACTAACATTAACACAGATTAATAAATGTATTGTTCCATGTTCGTTGCACGCTAGGTTTATGCGCATAGTCCAAGTCTTCTCCATTTTTTGTGTATCTCTGTGGCAGAATTACAGCACCACATAATGATCTGGCATGTATACTACATCGTTTTGTGTCAGTTTCATGGTTTCGTGTGGACGCAGATATTTCTTAAGATGAAGAGAAAAAAAAGATTGGATAGGGAAAGCTCTGGCTTCGTGTGGACGTAGCCTGAATTATCTCACAATTCTGACCTTTTCCCTCGGAATTCTGAGTTTACATCTTACAATTCTTTTTTCACACCATTGAATAAAAAATGAAAATGTAATTGTACATTAAAATATAATTGCAATTTTTTCACTCACAATTCAAATGGATCAAACGAGACTAAGCAATATTAGAAAAGCAGTAGTGCTGTCAAACTCAATATCACCTTGATATCAAATGGAATTTTCTATAAACACTAAGTCAATAAGTTACAATTTAGACAAAATACGGCCAGTTATTTTGTTTATTTTTGCTCCGTCAATGAAAATGGATCTAAACGGAGCCAAAGCTGAAAACAACAGCACCGTTATGTTGACATAATCTAGTAATCTAGATTGTCCTCAGTGGGTCACGATCTTTGTAGTGCATTGGTCTGATGGTGGACATTTCTGATGGACGTCTGTCCTCTGAAATGGTGTGTGTTTGCAGCTGTATGCTATCTGCTGTAATCCAGGATGATCCAGAGCAGCACAGACTCACACCCATCACAGCTGTCACCATCTCTAATCTTACACACACGCATGGTAAAATGAGAAAAACAGACTTGCAGCTTGGGAGAGCTTTTAAACCCAGGGCCGGCACAGTGCAGGAAAGTCTTCAGAAACAATATGTATACCAAAGGAATATACACAATACACTGATCACACATCACAGGCAAAACTACAGGCTTTTACCTTTTAATGATGGTGGCTGGTAGATATTTGGGTTGATTCGTTTTGGCTTGAGGACACCATTTTCTCCTACAACCCACTGAAGATAGCATATATGTTAAATGTACATATGATATTATACACACACACACACACACACACACACACACACACACACACACACACACACACACAC